AGAGACAATGCCATAAACCTTGTAACTTTTAGTACCGGGAGGATAGCAAAGAAAAACACAAGGTGAGCTTTGGATTGAAATTTATTCATATTGTGTATAAGTTTTGATATAAAACATAGAGAACCGGATACTCTCAAATGATCATATGCTAGAGGAGATTGAAATAACAACTCATGAGGAGTTTAATTGTCTAATAAGGGTGAAAGAGTTCTATTGATCAAATAAGGAGTAGTGAGGACTATATTTCCTCATAACTTTATAGGTACGGAAGTTTGGAAGAGAAGTGATCTAGCTACATTTAGTAAACGTTGGTGTTTTCTCTTAACCAACCCATTGTTGAGGAGTTTCAACATACGACAGTCGATGGATAATACCCTTTGAGCGATAGAAATCGAAAGATGGAATTCCTTACCATTATTAGGTCCGATTTGCTTAATTAGTAAGCGGAATTAAGTAAATACCATTTGATTGAAGGATGGAATAATGGATACAACATCCGACTTATGTCTAAGGAGAAAAATTTAGGTGAATCTAGTATAATCATCTACCATAATTAAAAAATGGTGAAAACCTCCAAGAGATGCGGTAGAATAGGATCCCTAAATATCCATATGAACAAGCTCAAAAGGAATGAAAGTAGCTTTCTTATGAATGAGAAATGGCAAACATTTCGTTTAGCCAAAGTACAAACAAAACAAGTGTGATAATTAAATTTGATATTTGGATTCTTGCAACTAAGTAATCGAATCCTATCGGATGACATATGACCTAGACGACAATGTCATAAATCGAATATCGATGGATTTACAACTATATCACTAATAGTTTGAACCTAACATGAATGTTTTATAGGTATAGGATTACAATTAATAGGAGATATAAGCAAGAATAATCCCGTTTGTAGACCAACAATTCTAATCATTATCTCCGAAAAGTTATCTTGTTTGATCAAACAAGAAGTACTAGTGAAAATCAATTTGTGATGAGAGTGAGCGAGTAAGTTTGCTAACTAAAATGAGGTTAAACTTGAATGAAGGAACACGAGAGGACGTCATATAAAACAAACGAAGGAGATAAAATAACTTAACCAATATGGGTAACTATTGCTTTATGACCATTTAGTAATTGCACTCGTTAAATTTTCAATAGGTTGATATGAACTAATTTTAAATGGAACAAGCTATATGGTCGATCATGTCTATATCAATGATCCAGGTACTAGAATGAAAAGGAATAACAGAGTTTGAATGAATAGACTTAACATAAATTATACATGCCGGACTAAAGATAGGTTGTGTATGGTTGATGTTTGAAGATTGAGAGGTTGAAGCTTGTAAATCCCGAGCATTCAAAAGATTCATGAGTCCGGTAACTTGCTATTGAGTGAAAGCAATGTTTAGCAATGTAACACGCTCGATTGGGAATAACACTATGAGTAGAGGCATCCTTAATAGATACGGAACCTTCGATACAACATTGTTAATGTGTCTAGAAGAATTGCAGTATTATGATTATAATTGAATTTGGAAATATGTCCGAACTTCAAGTGTTGAAATTCTTGTTCTTGGTGAACTTGAAATCTAGAGGAAATCCTATCAATCGATAGCATTTATCCTTACTCGTGACTCGGTTTCTCACAATATGAACAAGTAAGATCTAATTGTCTTCTATTACCATGAAATGCAACAGGAAGCGAACGACGGATTCACCGAAAGGAAACTATTACCGGACTTGAATTGATTTGTGAGATTCTTCCCTCATAGCCGGGTTATATACCTCATCCAAACTAATAAATGGCTTCTTCACCAAGCACTTGACATTTTAAAGAATAGAAAGATTCGTTCAATCCGTTGAGGAATTTGAACACATAATCTTTCTCATATAGCTTCATAAACTTATTAAAACATTTTGCATTACACTCTCCGTAACTGCAATGAGGTAATGGCTCGAAATTTCTTAATTCCTCCCATATTCTATTTAACTTTGTAAAATATATATTAACCGACCTAGATCCTTGTGTAATTGAACACAGAGACCACTCGTAAGTTGCGGATTCTTGATTCATCCGGTTGAGAAAAACGTTTCTTCAAAATCTCTTAAATCTTCGCAGTAGAATTCATATAGAAGACTCGTTACAATTACCGAAGGTGACATTGATCTCGGTAGCTGAGTTACTATCGAACTCGTTGTAACGATTCCAAGAATTAATAAGCATATCATTAGCTTCGGGTCTCGAAATAGATCCATCCACGAACCTTGTTGCGAATAGAGAGAGCTAGAGTAAATGACCTCGCTCTAAGTAGCATAATTCTCCGTGGTAAGTTCGGAGTAACCATAAGAGGATCATGATAATCTCAATGATGAATAAATTATGGAAAATAAGCTTTATTAGATAATGAAAAGGCTAATTCCATTGCCATGGCGAATCGAATCGAATCTTCGGAGAAGATGATTGATTGAAAAACTAACAAGAAGATGAATCGAAAGATCAATTTAATTTGGAGAATGAAGTGAGATGATCAAATCCTAGGTTCGATAGGCTCGATACCATGTTAAAGTTTAGAATGTGCAAAAGCAAAAGAGGAATGTAGAGGAGCAAAAGGTATGCATAGATCGAGAGACCGGAAATGAAGGAGGGAAACTAATGTTGAAAAATACCTCCAAAATTTTCATTAACCAAAATATCTTGTTACATTGACATTTATACCCACGCTAACTACTCAAAATAACTACTTCACTTATCTTCCTAACAACTTGAACTACCCATAACCGAAGCTTAACAAACTTTCTCGCCAACTTTAACTAAGTTTAACAAACAATGAGTATAAGATTAGCCTTTTCTAATATATTCTATGTTTTTAGAAAGTTTTTAAATTACAATCAATCTCATGCCATCTAAAAGACAAAAATACCCATCTTTATTTTTTTACATAAAGTACTACTATAATGGATAATTATCTATTTATTGTAAAGGTAAAACCAACGGTGTTTGCATTTAAGGAAAAACAAAAATCCTAATTCTTGGTTTCAACTCAATAGTTGTTCAAATAATTCTAAAGCTAAACAAATAAAAGGATAATTATTTTAGTTTTTTAAATAACATAAAATTGATTGTAATTTAAGAATAATAAAAAAAAAGGAATATGAATTAGTTTTTGTTATTTTTTGTTTGGATGTTAGAAGTAGTTAAAAAAGTTTACCATGAACACTTTTATTAAATAAGTATTCAAAAGAAGTTTTTTAAAAAATATATTGCTAACACTCTTCTAATTTTGATAGTTATCAGAAATGATATTTTTTCATGACTCCTCACCCTGACTGCCATGTCTCCCTTCGCAAAAATGGAAAATAATCTCTTACTGCAATGTTATGAAGTGGTTATCATTAATGATATCTACACCGAATAAAAAAAAAAACACTAAACATAAAGTTATGAATAAATCATCTTAAAACTTATTATTATCATTTATAGAAATGCAAATGGAAGGGAAAAAAATGATCTTTGTACGATACACAAAACGGGAAAAGAATGGACTGTGAACGTGATCCTCAAGATATCGCATGGAATTTTGGAATGTACTAATCATGAAGATTAATTTCCTCTCTTTGAATATTTAAGCTGGGTAGGCAAAAATCATGTTTATCCAGATCAGGGAAGTACCAATATTCATGAAACACGCTATCTGAATGGTTTGAATCTAACAAAATGGGGCAGCTAGCTATCCCTACTAGTACTATGGTAATAAGGCGATGCTCACAAATAGCAACAAAAAGACACTGCACATTTTTCATTTCTATCCTTGCTCCAAGAAAAAAGGAGGAAGAAAAATCAGAAAAAAACAACACTAAAAACGTTAGCAAAATCAATACGGAGATTAGGTACATTAACTACTAAATTTAGGGGAAAATTGGCGGATCACTATATAATAGTAGATTTCCTGGAAGCTAATTAATTGATATTGCTTTAGCAAAACACGTATAAATGATACAAGGAAATCAAGATGAAGAAGTATTTTTCCATAATTGAGAATTATGACAACGAGGAACCAGGAATGTAGGTAGTACCCCCAGAAAGTAGTAAGCCAAAGAAGGAATGGGGACCCTGGAGTAAATAATACCTACTCACAAGAAACCCCTTAAAGAAGAAGGACGGTATACTCCGAGTAAGTGCCCTTAAATTTCATGTTCTACAGGTGGAACAATGTGAGTCTTGTGTGACATGTGCATTAATTAATCTCTACTGTCAATCAAAGTAAAGTCCAAGAACCAGCCATGAGGAAGAACTCCAACACCAAAAAATTGTTTGTAATAAACTATGAAAAGTAAAAATATTATGCAATAATATATTTTGTATTTCAGCGCATATAATAACACCATCAAGGCCATTTTTATTCTATTTAAAAAAAATACTAATACTCATCCAAAAGGATGAATTTAAGTAAAAAAAATTTTAATCGTTTAAATAAATAATCTTAAATTTAAATCTTTGTATAGGTAAAAAAAACTTTTTTTGTCCATCCGTCATACTGATGTCTTTATTTTGGCTTAAGTTGGAAATGTAAAAACCAAACTGTTTTTATTATTAATGACATTGATTTCACTTTCATTTAAGCCCAACTAAAACTTCACTTTTCTTTTATCTCTTACACGTGCTCAGGCACGTTGTATCACTCACATACGCAAGCCATTACGCTTGACTGTCTACGAAAGACATTTAAATTCTATTGTTTCTAATTTCGTAGGTCGGTTTTTCCAAATTTTTGAACTTTGAAAGAGACTTTTCTTTTTTTCTTTTTTTTTTTGGTCTCCCCGTATGTTTGAAGCATGCCTTCTATATCTAACTCTCTGCCTATAAATACCCCACTCCTATCCTATCAGGTTCTCACTTCACAATATTTTCAAGGCAATTCTAGCATCTAATAATCCTAGCTAGCCAGTTTGTTGAGATAATTTCTCATATAAGTTGCACCAATATATAATACTTTCTTGAAAACAGAGAAATGGAGAAGCAGCACCAACTTTTGTCTAAGATTGCAACCAATGAGAGACATGGAGAGAACTCCCCATATTTCGATGGTTGGAAAGCTTACGATAGTAACCCTTTTCACCCCACTGACAACCCTGATGGAGTAATCCAAATGGGTCTCGCAGAAAATCCGGTAACTTTTGCTGCACACTTCTCAGCTTAGTTGTTTTTTTTTTTAATTATTATTATATAATAAAGCTTTAATTAAGATCATGAACTTAATCAAATTGCAACTACACTAGCTAATTTCCTTTTCTAATATTCTTTTTTTTTTTTTTGTCATGCAGCTATCCTTTGATTTGATTATAGACTGGATCAAGAAACATCCCACAGCCTCCATTTGCACTCCTGAAGGAGCTAATATGTTCAAGGATATTGCTAACTTTCAGGATTATCATGGCCTGCGGGAGTTTCGACGGGTATAATTAAATTAAAATGATGTAACCATCGTCTCTAATACATGAAATGCATCTGCGAATCCACATTACTGACAACAACATGACTGTCAATTTCGTTTTCAGGCTATTGCCAAGTTTATGGAAAGAGTTGGAGGTGGAAGGGTGACATTTGATCCAGACCGCATAGTCATGAGTGGTGGAGCTACTGGAGCAAACGAAACGATCACGTTTTGTTTGGCCGATCCTGGGGATGCTTTCCTTGTTCCCTCTCCTTATTATCCTGCGTATGTTCTCTTAATTCTTCGCCATTAATTTAATCGCGGTCTTTCATTGTCCATATCCAACGGGAACAAATACTTATTTTTCATGTCATATACATATTCAACGCATGGAACACCTCTAGAATTTGTGCCTTCAATTCTACTGTGGTGGTTGAATGACGTTGAACATTCTGCCAACGCAAAAGCTAAGTTTGTCATCAGGTAGAGCAATGAAACGAAAAGTAGGTGAGGAATCATAACAAAAGAATTAAATATTGCACAGTGCTAAAGAGACCAGGCATGACTCATATCATTTTGAACTTTGAAAACATCTAACTGAAGGAAATGGGATTTGCAACCACACAAGTGCTAAACCATTTCTTCACCATCTTATTGCAAGAAGCGACACAGGTCAAAAGGACTAATTAAGTTGTCATTTCTGGAATTTGTACACATGTTGTAGGGGTCAGCAACAAAATTCAAAGTAGGGTTTGATCTAATAACTCCGGTCAACAAACATACTTGTTTAGAGTTTAAGCACCGCTAATTAATAATCTTTATGAATACAATCTAATTACTCAAGTTGACCTTGCTACCCAACAAACAACCAGCCCAGCACTAATCAAAGAGTCAACTTGTGCTTGGATTGTCCTTGCCCAATTTTCAAACATTCTTCAATTTACAGCTGGATGTTGGAAATTTTTTCCAAATTTGTTCAAGTTTCAATCCCAAATCTTCATAAAATAATACTCCAATCTCTCTTAGGCGTGCCAATTAAAACTTGATCATGACCATTCAGATTTCCTTCGTCAAATCGAAGACCACAATATAGTGTGAACACTCTATCCAGTCAAAAGATGCAAGTTTTGCTTTATTATCTTCATGCACAAGCAAACATTAAAAATTCGTTGACAATTTGATAAGTAATGCTAAATATTTCTGACAAATTTGGATCATTGCAGATTCTATCGAGACTTTTGATGAGGCATGCTAAATATTTCTAACAAATTTGGATCGTTGCAGATTCGATCGAGACTTGGGATGGCGCACAGGGGTCCGGATTATTCCAGTTGACTGCCATAGCTCAAACAATTTCCAGATAACAAAAGCAGCATTGGAAGCAGCATATGATAAGGCACAACAGGATGGCATCAACGTCAAAGGCTTGATCATTGCAAACCCATCAAATCCACTTGGCACTACCTTAGACAGAGAGACAGTAAAAATCATACTGAGCTTCATCAATGAGAAAAACATCCACATAGTCTGCGATGAAATTTACGCAGCAACTATCTTCAGTGCCCCGAATTTCGTAAGCATTGCTGAGGTTATCGAAGAGATGGATTGCAACCGTGATCTCATTCACATTGTTTACAGTTTGTCCAAGGACATGGGACTCCCTGGCTTCAGAGTAGGCATTGTTTACTCATACAACGATGCAGTTGTGCACTGCGCCCGCAAGATGTCAAGTTTTGGGTTAGTCTCCTCACAAACTCAATATTTACTCGCTACAATTCTTTCCGATGAGGAGTTTGTTGGGAATTTCCTGGCCGAGAGCTCGAAAAGGCTAAAGAAAAGGCACAGTATTTTCACCAAGGGATTGGAACAAGTTGGTATCAGTTGCTTAAAAAGCAATGCTGGTCTTTTTGTTTGGATGAATTTGCGCCATCTCCTTAAGGAACAAACAAATGATGGTGAAATGGCTTTGTGGCGTGTGATTATTAATGACGTGAAGCTCAATGTTTCGCCAGGCTCTTCTTTCCATTGCATTGAGCCTGGTTGGTTTAGGGTCTGCTTCGCCAATATGGATGATGAAACTGTGGATGTTGCACTGAAAAGAATACATGCATTTGTTGGTGAACAAAAGGAAAGGGAAATGCCAAAAAAGACCAATTGTTGGAAAAAAATCTTCGGCTCAGCTTCTCATCTCGTATATTTGAAGAGAGTATTGGATCTCCACATGTGATGTCTCCTCGCTCACCGCTTGTTTCAGCAAGGACTTAACTAATAAATTGCAGAGAGTACTTAACTCTACTGCTAAGCTGCTACTTAGAAAAATTAAATAAGATTTGCTATGGATTCTTTCACGTTATAGAGCAGCCTGGGCAATTAACATATTCTTGCCATTAAATCAATTGTTGTTGTTATTATTATTAGTAATTTTCTTTTTGGAAACATAAATGTTTGTAAGCGTGAATACACGCAGGTGTGTAAAGATTGGATCCACCGGCAAGTTTCAAATTGATGTAACGATGTTATATTGAAATTTAAGTGATACTTAATCGGTTGAGTTCTCTTGTTAATTTGAATTGTAAAGTACCTTGAATTAGTTCCATATTCACTATATACATTATTCATATGCTCAAAGGAATTCAATTAATAGAGTTTCATGGTGCTAACCCAAAAAAAAAATAATAATAATAAATCAATCGAACTTAACCTAGCAGCTATGTAACCAACTAACTTTTCTAGTAAAGTAAAATTCAAATTTTAGTGATTTCATTTTATTTATTTATTTATTTATTTTTTGATTATGCAATAGGAGAAGACTATCCCTATTGTGTATCTCAAAAAAACTCAAAAAAAAAAAAAAAACAAAAACTCATGACCTCCTATGAATTAAAAAATAAATAAAAAATAAAGAAAAGAAAGAAAATATTCAGAAATAAATTTAATACGTTTTCTTTTCCACCCACTATGAACCCAAAAGAACATAAGATATTACTATGTCATTAAATAAATTTATTAACTTCATTTTTTTTCATTCTTAGTGCATATATCTCAATCATATGTACAATTATCACATTATGAAATATGTTTTTTTCCCCTCCTTAGATAGGGACCTTGTAGTTCATTCGGTTGTCGGATGTTAAAGGGTTAGCATTAGTAGTGAGCATGACGAGAAAATAGAATCGTATTATCATGATAAATTGAATTGGCTATCATTACAAAGATAATAGACTACTATGACCTCTTCTTTTTAATGAAGGTTTTTTTAGGCTTAAATACTCCAAAGATAGAATTTGAACCCATAATCTTTTACAAGTACAAGAAGATGGAGTCTGTATTATCACAAAAAATTGAATTGGCTATCACCTGTAAAGATGAGAGACAACTCGACCTCTTTTTGTAATGAAACTTCTTTTAGACTCAAATACTTCAAAGAGAGGATTTAAACTCGTAATTTTTTTACAAGTGCAAGAATCTCACTACCACTAGATTATAAGCTTAAGCTTATTGGTGCAATATGAAATATATTACGGAAAAAGAACTTTGTAAATATAATTATATATTAAAAATTGCTCCAGAACTCAAGCATGATGTAGGCTTCTAACTAGCAACATAAACCAAATCAATAAAATTAATTACATGTACAATGAATGGGTTTTCTCCAAAATTGAAGGTTTGCCAATAAACATAGTTAGGAATGCATGCATTGTTTAATTTGGCGACCTATGCCATATGTTAAGACAAGTCTCCGTTATACCCTCTTTACCAATGTCCTCTTCCTCTCCTTGGACTATTGTTGTCATGCTTTCATCATCTTCTAAGTCTTATTCACATAACTAACAATAAGATATAAAAGTTAGATAGAAGTATTAACTTTTATCTTTGTATACTTGATATAGTTTGGTATTCTTATCTCAAGTAAAGACTATAAAAGATAGAGCATCACAACTCGATAAACACATGAGAAATATTCTATAATACAAAGAGTTCTCCCATTTAATTTGGTACTTAGAGTCGGGAAGGCATTAGTGCCTTTCTCTTTCCTTTTCACAAACCACTATTATAATTTTTTCTTTTCCATTCAAAACACTAGATGGCTTCTTCCAAGCAATACCTCATCTCTCACTACTCGTTACCATAACATAAAATATGACCCTTCCTACACCATTGAGTCTACTTAGCAACTCTCATCGCTTTCTCTTTCTAAAATTAATCCATACCAATTTCCTCTTATAGCTTGTCCGGATGAAGCCATTCCTCCTAGGCTAAAGCCTTTATGGCTTTATTGATGAATCTTATCGACGTTCCCCAAGCCACTTTGTTGCTATAAAATCAAGTGTCCCATAAGTGAGTCCTTCTTACCTAGCTTGGATAAGATCAACTTCTCATAAGCATAATCATTTCCTCTCTCTCTCTCTCCCTCCCCCTTAATATCCTTCCAATGATCATTAATTATGCCATTTCTCGGGAAGTGTGTTCTTTGCTTAAGAGTGACTTGGCCTCTCTTTCTAGCATTCAAATTACATCTTACCTTGCTAAAACTTCGTTAGGAGTCAAATGAATCGATCTCTCAATTTCTACACTATGTCAAAATCCTACGGTGATGAACTCTCTATAGCTGGCCGATCTATCTTTTCCATTGACTTCAACCTCTATGTCTTCAAAAGACTTTCTAAAGACTTTAAAGATATAATCACAACCCTTGCCATACGAGCCGACCCAATAACATTTACCGATCTTCATAGCTTTCTTGTTAGCCATGAATTTTTAAATTATGATGCTTTTTCGGATCACTCTTCCACAACAAGTTTGGGTTTATTACCTATTCTACTTACCGCCAATCTCATTCACAAAGCCAACAACACATATTTTGATCAATTTAGTGGTTACAATTGTGATAAATGTAGGTTTTTTTGAGGTTGAAGCTATGAAAGATTCAACCTTAGGTACGAAAACAATTTTAATTTTAAAAATAGAGGGAGTTGGCGTTAGCATGATCGATGAACCAAGTGTCAAATATGTTTCTCATAGAACAAGACGCTTGTCCGTTATCCCCAATGATAGTTTACTACTTATCCAGCCCGTAGCAAATGTCTCGACCGTGTCCTTTTCTACCACATTCGCTCCTTTCCGATGTTCCAACACTAGTGCTTCCTACCATATGATACTTGATCCGGTGAGCTTCGGTACCTATGAACCATATTAGGGACCCGACCAACTATAAATTGGCAATGGTGAGTTCATTCCAATTTAACAAATTGTCTCTTGTCATATTAAAACACCGACTAAAATTTTTTATTTACTTAATGTATGAGGCCCTTTGCCTACTATAGTTATTGATTGTTATAAATATTACATAATATTTATCAATCATCATTCCAAATGTATATGATACTTTCCATGACATAAAAAAACTAATGTGATCGATATTTTTCTTAAATTATAAAAAATAGCAAAGCGTTAATTTAATTATCAAATAAAACACATACAAACTGATTGGGGTGGAGAATTTTGTACTTTGAATAATTTTTTTAAAAATCCATTGGCATTATTTATTGTATCATATGCCCACATACCATAAATCACTTTTGGATTAGTTTTTTCACGAAACCTAGACTATTCTTTGCTTAAAATTTTTTATTGTCTATGCTATCCTTATTTACACCATTACAATAAAAAAAAAACTATATTTTAGGTTAACTCCTTCTATCTTTCTTGGTTACAGACCCATCTAATTTGGGTTATCAATGTCTTAACACAACTAATAATTGTTTTTACATTGTATCGTCATGTTCGTTTTGTTGAAAAAAAAATTCTATTCGCTCAACTAAAAAACTCCATTAATACTCATGTTTAGGTATCTCCTTCTCTTAATTAGGCAAGTCTTCTAATTCGAGGCTTCTCCAACTCTATCACCTCTCTTTATACGAGTCAACATCATTTTGTGCCACATTTAGCCCCCGTAACACCAAGGTAACAAGCTACCCAAATCACAAACCAAGTAACCTACCCATGTTTTACCATCCAAAGCCATGAGTCCAAGCCCACAAAATGCCCATGTTTTGCCATTCCAAGCCATGACTCTAAGCTTACAAAATGCCCACACTTTTCAATCCCAAGCCTTGACTACAAGCACACAATTTGCCATCCCTAGCCTTGATCATAAGCTCATAATCTACCCACCACTTGCATACTCCACTAGCCCAAAGCCCACATTCTAGTCCATCATCACCTCGGCCCGTGCCCACTTATCCAGCTAATACATATATGATATTTTTCATAAATGAAAGCCACACACTACCAATCCTCTTCGCTTCTCACATGTCTTCCCTCGGTATCTCTTCCAACTCACCATCTCTATTTTTAATTTCACCATGATAACGAGTTGTGTTAAATCTTATTTTTGATTTAAGTCACTATAAAATGGACCATCAAAAGACCCATCCCTTAAATATTGAACCTTTTAGAACACATCCCATGGTCCTTCGTTTTATGAATGAGAAATCTCAACCGTATGCCTCTCTTGTCATTTCATAAACTATAATTCCTAAATCTCATCTTACTTCTTAAAAGCATGAAAGTACGTGCCATGACATACTACAATGTCAATAGAAATTTCAATCATCCTCCATACGAGCACTTGGTCCTTGGTTCCTCCATCTTCTTCTATGAACATCATTAACGAGCAAGTGGATCTTTAAGATCAAACTAGAACATATTGCAGCATTGAAAGACACAAAGTCGGGTTAGTTGTAAAAGGATTTAATCGGTAGAAAGGAGTTGATTATGAGAAAAAATTTAGTCTAGTGGTTAAACCTACCATAATTCGTTGTGTTCTAGCACTTAGAGTGTCTTATGATCGGGTAATTAAGCAATTGGATGTCCATAATCTCTTTTTAAACACTACTCTCTATGAACTAGTATATATGTCTCAACCTATTGGCTTTGTGGACACTCATTTTCCTCACCGGGTTTTCCAATTGCATAAGTCAATTTATGGCCTCAAACAATCCTTTAGAGCATAGTTCTCTTGCCTAATGATTTTTTATTGGATTTTGGGTTTGTTGGTTCTAAAACGGACAACTCTCTTTTCGTCTACAATTTCAAAGCCTACAAGGTATTTGTTCTTGTTTATATGGATGACATCCTTGTCACGAGCAATGACCATTCTTTCTTATAAAAGTCATTCGAGCTTTAAACTCTAGATCCGCCACAAAGATCTTAGTATCGTTAGTT